TTTAAAAAAAGATGGGCCCCCAAAGACAGCAAGGAAATGAGTGAGCTACCAAGTCCCAATATGATCGTTTTTTCAAGCGTAACCAACTGAGAGGAAGATCAAAATTAATTTTTTATGAGAAGCCACAAAATTTAGTTAACACAAGCCTATCCCTGTTATCCTGACGCCAAAAGACTTCGAAAAGGCGATAAATCCCCATGCACTTGCCCCCGGGGCCGACTGTGAAATCCTGTTCATCAAGACTGCAAGAGCCCCTATCATGAGCCTTACCCCTATGGGGAGGGGGCATGGACACGGGGGCGTCCCCCGTTACTAAAAACAACAACAAGCCCCCCCTCCACAAAGGGGAGTAAAGCACAGCAAAGACTACAGACCCATAGCACTAACATCAAAAATCATAAAAATCTTTGAAAGGGTCCTAAAAGCAAGATCACCACCCCTCAGAAACCCCCCATTACACAAAACCGGAAAAGGTTTAGTAGGTCCTCCTTCTTCCAACTATTGGACACTACGACAAGGGCCTAGATGCCTAGAAGACAAAAAAATGCAGATTAAAAAATTTTAACAGACTTTGCAAAAGCCTTGACAAATGTGCCAGGCGTAATAGCGCACAAAATGCGTGTAAAGGAAACAGGAAAAAATCGGCGATGGATCTATAATTTCCTCACAACAAACACAGATAGAGTGTCAACGGTAAACCAGGCGCTACAGTAAAAGCTCTGTTCCACAAGGCACATACTCGCTCCCTTTGTTCCCATCCTATATTGACATGACAAGGATGCAGCCCCCCACTGTGTCTTCCTTCAATGACACCCGAATCGCAGATGTCTTTTCCTTGCAGACCTGCAAGGCTCCAGGCGGAATCAAACCCAAAACTTTCAGTGGGGTGCAGAAAACAATTGAATTCAACGATGAGAAATTTCAATTACCCAAATGGTAAACACAAGGAAATTAAAATTTATCGGTACAAAAAAAAATTTTGGCCCCAAAAAAGAGCAAACACCAACGTCAAAGCCGGGAGTGATCATTCGGGGGATCTCACCTTTAAGGACCATAACATTGTATCAATCGCATCTGCTAGAAAAATGACAGGGGGATAATGGAACCTTTAAAAAAATAGGGGGGCCAGCCCTGATGACACTCTTCAGGGCACTTGTTTTCTAGGGGGAATATTGCTGCACACTAACAGCACCTTTCAAGGGGAGGTGAAATTGCTGACCTAAAAAAGTACGAGAACCTTCACGGCGCGCATAACGGGGATAAAACACCTCAATTACGGGACGCTTGAGGTTCCTGAACCCTTTTTCCCCGGGAAACCCGGGGGAGAGAAACATGATTCGTATATACACCTGAAAAAACCTAAGGGATAGTACCGAACTTGCACACGAAAATCACTCGCTACGAAAGCAAAAGACTTTGGGAGACGTGCAACATCCCCCCAATGAAAAGCAGGGTGTCCTACATGTTAACCCCTTTGAGGGTTTTGGGCGACTAGTCGCTTACGCGTAGGGGGTTTTTTTTTGAAAATTCGCTAAATTCTAGCGGCCTCAAATCTCACAGGAAAGGGTGATAAGGGCCCAGATGTGGGGAGAATGGGGCTGTGTGTGGGGGTGCGCAGTAGGAAAAAATTGGGGCCCAGGGGCATTTTGGGTGCCATCATAGTACACAATTTCCCCGTACCCCTTTGGGAAGAATTCCCCCTCCTCGGCGAATTTGGGGCACTTTTTTTTCCCCATGACATTCTAATACAAAAGGAAGTGACAGTGAAGATGAGTTTCAAAAGGGTTTTGGTGAGGTTTTTACCGAAACTAATGACCAAATATGGGGAATAGGGGGGAAAACCCCAACAACCCACAGCCTTCCACCTCTGGTGTGGGCCCTCTTGTTCACGTTCATTTTTTCCAGAATCAAAGAGGAAACTCCTATTTTTCCAAATCCCAGACCGATGGAGATTGGGGTGATAGTGATTATGAACTCAAGCTCTTCAAACTTGTTCCCAAGAAGGGGGAGGGGGAGGAGGCAAGGGGAGGAGCAAAGAGGAGGGGGAGGGAAGAGAGGGGGAGGCAAGAGGAGGAGGGGGAAGAGGAGGGGGAGGAGGGGAGGAGGAAGAAAGGAGGAGGGGGAAGAAGAGGAGGAGGAGGAAAAAGAAAAGGGGAGGAGGAAGAAGAATACATAAAGATGATATAATACATAAAATAAAAATACATAATAATAAAAATAATAATAATAATAGGTAATAATAAATGTTCACCCCGGGCAGTAACAAGATAAGGGGAGATAACATCGATAAGTGCTGACTTTGGAGGGTAGAGCTGTGCCAAAAGATGAGATAAACTCTCCCCCCTTCGTTTTTTCTGGTATACTAACGTTTTTTTTCTGTCTTTTCCCGTCTGTCAAGCTCCCCGTCTATCCGCAGCCCCCTGCTCAGGAGCCCAAGACTGTGTCATCACTTTTTCTACATCTTAAACAGAGTATAGCACTTTATGGGGTTTTTTGGGGTTTTCCTAGGTAATTTTTACTAGTATATTGTATTTATGTGTACCCGTGAGACGAGAAAAAAACAGAAGATGAGGGGGGAAAGTAATTAATAGAATGGAGGAAGGGGAAACAGCATCCCACCCCCTTTTTTTTGGGGGGGGGCAGGCGGGAGGGGATGAGTAATGAACAATATGCATTTTGACACTGCCGACTCCCGGTAAATTTTCACATGGGGAGGGGAAGGAGAAGGGGGAAGAGTAGGGGGAAGAGGAGAAAAGGGGGAGAGGAAGGGAAGAGTAGGGGAAAAAGGAAAAAGACGAAGAGGAATAGTAGGAGGGAAAATTAGGGGGAGAGGGAAAAAGAGGAGGAGGAGGGGAGGAAGAGTAGGGGGAAAGGAAGGAGAGAGAGGAAGAAGAGGAGGGGAGGAAGAGGAAAGGATGAGGAAGAGTAGGGGGAAGAGGAGGAAGAGGGAAAAAGAGGGGGAGGGGGTGAAAAACTAGTACACTGGGACTGGAAAAACATTTCTGTCTGTTATTTGTCTTCTGTCAAGCTCCCTTCTATCTGTCTACCGTCAGCTCTCTTCTCAGAAGCCACAAGACTGTGTCATCACTTTTTTCACATCTTCAAGCAGAGTATAGCACTTTGTCTGGATTTCTTGGGTTATCCTAGTAATTAACTAGTATACTTGTTTTTTTATGTGTACCTGTAGACAGATAGACGACAGATAGAAAGAGAAACAGATTGAAAGAGAAAAATGAGGGAGAAAGATAAAAAAACCCAAAGTGTATGACACCAGGGTTTAGAGTTCCACAAGCTGCAGAATAATAGGGAAAATGTTTAGTGACTGATATTGGTAAATATTAAGAACAATAATAATAAACAATTTTTGTATTTTTTGTTTTTTTAAACAAGTTTTGTAAACAATAAAATTATAAAATTTTTGTTTGTGTGCTTTTTTGTGTTTTATACAACGAGGTAATAAAGTACATTGACCTTACTTTGGCTCATAGGCCAAAATAAGTTATTAAAAATAAAATGTGAAAAAAAAAACAAACCTTAAATACAAGTAAACTAAAGTTTTCCGGGTACGGCAGTCGCCGCTTTCCCAAAGCGGCCATTTTCTGCAAACTTCAGCATCCATTCTCGTAAGTATTGAAAGGTAAATTTTTTTTTTTTTACCTAAAATGTTTAGAAAAAAAACTCTATTTTTTCATAAGAAAAAATAATTTTTTTTTTTTTGAAATTTGGGGGCCCACCCGAGAACGAGTTTCGGGGGGCCCTTCGACCCCCAAAGGGTTTTAAAAGGGCCTACAATAAGTGTTAGGGGCCCCAACTGTTCAACTGCCTCCCCCGCTACATAAGGGGGGTTTCCAACAGACCCCCGGCAGTCTTCAAGGGCACGGACAAGCACCTAAAAAGGTTCCTGACCAGCCGGGCTTGGCTCTACTTTGGGTTTTTGTGCAGCCCCCGCAAACACCCCGGTTGAAGGCCCGATCCACCAGGAGCCTGGCCCCAGACCGGGGGCCCCGGGGGGGGTTTACCCCCCGGAACCCCCTCCAGGAAAATCCGGCCACAGTGGTAATGAGAAAAAAAATCTTTGCCGGTTTTGGTTAAAACGGCGAATTTGCACGTAATTTTTGTGTATTTATTGTTTTATTCTAGTTTTTTTGGGGCTCATTTTATAGAATGGAAGACATATTTTAGAAAATTTGGGTGATTTTGATTGGTTTTACAATGAAAAGACCCTTTAATTTAGCTCAAAATAGCAGAAACGTTATTTTTAAAACCCAAAGTTCAAAATAAAAAAAATCATGCTCTGGTCCAATAACGTCAACTGGTGAGTCCAATATTCTTTCACAAGTGCGCTGATATTATTTATACCATTTCTACACCAATGCAGTAGTCTGCATAACAGTAAACCTTCTATTTTTTTGTGAGAATCAAAATTCGAAGTGGAAAGCAAAAGAATGTAAGAGGGGCATGGGGACATGACTAATGAACAGAGGAAATGTTATTTTAGTGCCAGGAATGTCTTTCTTGTTTATTCTGGGCCCTATTCGGAAATTGGCATCTTTTGAAATTTGTGTGAAATTGGCAAAAATTGCTAAATTCTGACCACTGTATTGGATAGTTGAAATCGGTAAATGGGTGGTTTCTTGTACACATTCGATAGAAAAAATAAGAGTTCTAGCAAAATAGTTATGATTTTTGTTGACAAGTACACTGGAATTGGCCGAAAATAGGGCTCAAAGTGTTGCGGCAAAATCGCCGATGCATAAACATCGTCGAGACCGCTAACTTCACGAGAGCATAATTCTGTAAGTTTTCCATCAAATTTCATACTTTTGGTGTCCTTATGATCGGGAAAAGATTCTCTATCTTTTCATAAGAAAAAATAATTTTTTTTTTTTTTTTTTTGAAATCTGGCCGACCCTGAGAACAAGTCTCTGAGAGGGCCTGTTGACCCTGAAAGGGTTAAGACTTGCCATATCATAATGCAGCTTTACAAATTATTTTCACAGAAACGCAGTTATGCAGCTCAGGCAGCAGTTAAGCAGTCTTCATATTCTTTGCCCAAACATGATCCCAAGGTGACCTCGCTTCCATCAGGCATAGTTGTAGCATCATTAGAGAATAACGCCCCAGTTTCTAATGTTGCTCTTCTCTTCAGGTAAGTTTGTATTGTAATTTATTGGAAGTATTTTCTACATATATCCAGTTTGCATGGGTGCATTATAATGGCTAAAACATTAAGTTATTTAATTTTCTACATTTACCCTTTAAAATGAATAGTGAATGACTTCATGTGGCATCCAACCAGTATTTTAAATTTCAGAATTCTGAGTGTTTCTTAAAACATCTTTGTTAATCATGAATTAATTTATGCCTTGTACTGAAGTAGTAGCTTGAAGTATACCCTTATACAAGTGTCATATTGATTTCATGTGTTCACTGTTAATGGTAAAGGAATGTAAAGTGTTTTTGGGTTTGAATTTTCTTCAGAAAAAAATATCATGCACTATTTAAAAATTATTACATTAGCATTGCACTAAGCATACTTCCTTATTTCCTGTTTGTGTAATACAGCCTCTCCTCACTTAACGACATACTCGTTTACCGACGCACTGGACTTACAATGGGCTCTCTGACCAGTATGCATACGTAAATAATGTACATATTAGAGCTGATTTCCTCTATTCTGTTTATTACAATATACAGTACACTACTGTATGAACATTTTAAAAATATACCAGAAATGTTATAAATTGTGCAAAGGTGACATTAAAACAATATCAAAGATAGTTGACACAAACCCACTGCCTTTATATGCTCCTCACTTGGCGACGAATTTGTTTACAGACATGGTCTTAGGAACGGAACTCCATCGTTAAGTGAAGAGAAGCTGTATTTGAATAAAGTGTCTTATTGATTTGTGCATACGTTGGTAGGTCTGCAAAGAAATGTGAATAGTATATTGTATTGCACCAAGTTGATTCATTAATCATTTACTACTTCTCTTAGTTTTGAATTCTTTTGATAATTGTCTGTTAACCCAATAATCCGTAGCCATAAAAAAAGATAGGTAGCTCAAAAACAAAGAATATATAACCATTTGAAATCCTGTTTTTAAATTTCTCTTGGTTAGAAGTCACATGAAATGCATAATCTGATATAATATTTCAAAGAAAATATTAAGAAGAAATACAGTATTTGTGAGAATTAATAGTTTAAACTTGTTTCCATGTACAGAAATTTGTTGTATGCCTCATTGTATTTATTAAACTCTCTTTCAGGGCTGGATCTCGTTACGAGTCTGCAAGTAACAGAGGGGCTTCCCATGTGTTGCGTGGAAGTGCTGGTCTTGCAACAAGCAACATGACATCCTTTGGCATTACTCGTTCCATTCAGCAAGTTGGCGGATCGCTGTCTGCAGAGTCTGGACGAGAGCATGTACTTTATGGGGTGAATGTAATCCGTGACAGCTTGTAAGTAAATTCTACTAGCATTTTAGGAAAGTGGGCATTATAAACCCTTAAATTTATGTAATTTACTGTCCTCGGGGACTGTTTCCTAATTGTTATAATACCTTTTAAATTAACTAAGGATTACCAGTACAGTTTTCCAGTGGTCTAATTCTTTGGGGAAATAAGAAAAATTAGAGCTGCAGGTTAAACAAAGGTTTTGGAAATTACTACAAAAAATAGGTAATTTTAATCAGAACTTAACTGGCTAGAACCACAATTTCAAGTAAGCACTTCATTTGAAGCTTTAAGATAAATTTGCCACATTTAACTGATATAGTAAGTGATTTGTTGAATATTAAGGATCATATGATTGATATATTAGTCTGCAAATGTATAAATTGCCATCAGAGCTAAGATACCATTATAATCTAATAGTCTAGTATAGCCAGAGGTTTTGTCTTATAATTTTAGAATTGTGTTCCTGTCATATAAGCTTAGCTCCCTCTACTACTGTGATCCCAGAAAGGTATCCCCCATATCCCATATGTACAAGTCCCTCTACCTCAGTGGTACAAGAAAGGTTTCCCTGTATCCCACAAGGCCAAATGGTAACTATCATGCTCAATCATTTTTTCTGATACGTGGTTCTCCAGGAGACTTCCATCGAGTCATTCCATGTCGAGTAGACCAGGTGTGTCCACCTGACCATCTCCAATTTCGATAAAATTTTACATGAAGGTTGGCATATATGTTATACTAACTTTGGGAAAGTATTATATTATGCAATAGTAGTAATTCTATGGTTCTGAGTGGAGGCCTGTGAAAATTTCACCAACCCCCAGCACACAATTGGCAGTGTTCAAGTTATTGCTGTGTGTGAAGGCTTACTCAACCCTGTAAGATCTTAAGTAGGTCTTACCAAGGTTGGCTCCTCCTTAGGAAAATTAATGAATAGAAAAAGAATAATAACATACAAATATAAACACTTTATTGTTATAATTGAAAATATAAAACATTTAAATATGAACTTTTATCCTACTTGAAAGAAAAATGAAAAATAAAAAAAAAAATGACATTTGAATTCAACGCTAATATGTACAGTTAGACTGGGGTGTCTGGTTGATGTTGACACCGCGCCTTGTAGAAATTGTAGCCATTGCTGATGATGTTGGGGGGGGGTCACAGCTGTTGAGTGACAACCCAACGACTAGTTCGTCACAATGTCTCCAGCCTTGAATAATCCGTCAAGATGATAGGAATGCAGGTCTTTCACCACTGCAAAGATGAGGGGTAATTGCCTGGGGTTGGCTACACTCGGGTATGTAGATAAAAAGTGACGTCCCAGAACTCATGTGAAGTTCGTCTCCAACACTGTTTCTGTGGCTGCCAGATGACCCAAGCTGACATTCCAAGCTAGAAAGAGACAAAAGTTACCCACTGCTTGAGAAATCACTACATGATAAGTAAAGCATTTAAAAGAATGGTGAGGATTTAAAAGTGAAGCTTTTAACCGATATATGTATCCACTAAAATAGGAGCAGAGACTTTTACTTAGTTGTGTTGGGAGCTGTGAGTCAAGTGATTATCCATTTGGTCAGAGCCCCACACGTCACCTTTCCGGGTGGAGAAAAGGTGGGGGGATAGCGGGAGCTAGACACTGACCCTACCTTAACAAGCAGACTGGCAATCAAACTATCGTCACCATATACTCTCTCGATACTCCTTTCTGTTGAACTTTTCCCTCACACTGTGGCAGTCTAGAAGAGTAAAAGTTGTGTAAATAGAGATGCCTATACAACTTTAGAAGCTGATTTCAAGAATCTGTTCTTATACTTACATGCTTTTATTTTTTTCACAGTATGAAGCCAAAGCTGCCTATATCTCTAGAGGAAAACATTATAGTATGACATATTGTAGCCAGCTATCCAAGTGGACATTGTCACAATCCTAAAATATCAGATTCCAAATGTTTTTAGTTCGTGTGCTAATGGTACCTAAAAAATGCCCTCGGTGAATTTTAGGCCAGTAGCAAAAAACCAGCACAACCAATTTTCTTAAACCTTTATTAGAAAGAGCAGATTCTAAACTACAAGATATCCATTTTCTGGATAGGCATTTTTACCCTTGAAGGGAGAAAACAGGCCTTAAAATAAGGTTACTTTTTGCTTGTGCAATGTTGTAATAAAAACCAGGCATTTTTCAATTGCTGCTGTTACAGAGCAACAACAGCTCGAACCTTGTTTTTAGGTGTCCTTGTACAATTTTCGGTGGTGATTTCAGAAATTATTTGAACTGGTAGGGACCGTTTTTTTTTTTTTCAACAAGTCTGCCATCGCCCACAGAGGCAGGTTGACCCAAAAAGAAAGAAAATCCCAAAAAAAAAATGCTTTCATCATTCAACACTTTACCCAGTCATACATAATCCTTTTTTGCAGAGGCCCCCAATACAACATTTTTAGAACATATACTAAAAATATATAAAAAATTTCCTTAAAAATCCTATTCCCAAACCCCTCCTTTAAAGGCAGGCTTTGTACTTCCCATTTTCCAGACTCAAGCCACTATATAAAACGGGTTTCTCTGAATCCCTTCTTAAATATTACCCTGTTTACACCCCCACCACCTTTAGGTCCCAAAAAAAACCGTTCACTCCTTTCACCCCATCTAACAGGCTACTATAAAAATTTAAGTTTAAAAATTTAAACAAAATTTTTTCTTGACAACTGATGGCAATTTTGACCTTGTGTTTTTTGACAAAGCTTTAAATATTACTTTTCCATGGTGGCTTGCCCTTACCTTTTCTTAAAATTTTGGTAACCCCATCCCCTGGGGCCACCCCCATACCCATAAAGAACAGCCACGGGTGATGGGCGCTTTCCACATTTCCCCAAGGCAAGGGTTTTTTTTTGCCCGATAACCCAGTGACCCCTTTTTGCTAACTTTAATTTTAGGGGGAAAATGCCTAAGGATGTCAAGTTGTTTACATCTCCTGATTTTCCCATTTTTACATCTTAATTACTGTCCGATGTGATGCTTAACAGCTTGAATTTAGATTAAACAAAAAGGCACAATCCATGACTAAACAAAACACGGGTAACTACAAAAGGGAGAGGGAGTTTTTTGCAATGTTTCAGTCCAACGGGACCATTTACAAAATAAAATAAGGGGAAAAGATGCTACTACCACTCCTCCCTTTAAACCTCTACCATTACTATTCCTCCCACCCACTACTACTCCCATCTCTTTTGCCCCCATCCTATCCAGCTCCTGTATAACAGCTCCTCCTCTCTTTTTGTTAGTGTGACTTTGTAAAGGGCCCAAGGGTCAACCAAAATGGCATCGAGAACTTCCCTCTTCGATGTCGAGTTACTTGTGTATTGAATTTAGATTTTTTTTGAAATATTCACCATTTCCCTTACCCTTATGTCTTTTACAGTGGTGCCTTGACTTAAGAGTCCCCAAACTTGTGATTTTTTGGGGGACACCCGTCGCGGTTGTTTTTTTTGCTTGGAAGTGACCCAAAAATCCGATTTATGAGCGAGCTTCAATACACCACCATATTTGGGGTACAACAAAACCCACAACTCCACCTAGCACCCGCATCTTGCTCATTCTTTGCACGGGGTTACCTCGCGGGGAAAGCATCCTTGTTTTGTGCTGCTTTTTGTGCAGTTTTTTTCCCCAATTTTTTTTTTCTAACCATGGTCCTAAGAAAATAAGTCAAAGGACAGTGCGAAAGAGGAGATATTCCTTGAGTTAAAAGCTAAAATCATAGAAAATCATAGTGAGGTGTGCGTGTTTATAATTTGGTGAGGCGTAAAAGTTTTATACTTCCCTGTGTACCTACTAAAGCAAAAAGCTCATTAAGTTCAGCAATAAAGTGTAGCTTAAGAGTGTAGCAAGTAAGTTAAAAATTAAAGCAAGGTTTTGATGAAAAATGACCGAAAAAGCTCAAAAGAAAACAAACTCCCCCCAACTCCTCGGATATCTTTTCCCCCTCCCCCTTTTACCAGCACTTCCTTTACCCCAAGTTCTGATCTCCAAGGTAAATACCTTTATAAAACATTTTATTTTTTTACATTTCTTTTATTATTTTTAATTTTTTATACAATATTTCTTTTTTATAAATGCTTTTTTTCTTTTTAAAAAACCCATAACAAAAAAATTGGGGGGGTTTTTTTTCGGGGCTGAAACAGATTAACGGCATTTAAATTAATTTTCAGTAAAAAAAATTTATTTGATAAAAATTACAGCAAACTAAGTCATGACTCGGTCATGAAAATAATTTAAAACTCGCAAGTAAAGGCTTCGCTGTATTATTTTTTGTCTTTTCCCAGTTGAGAGTTAACTTTTAACCCTTTGAGGGTTTGTCCTGTATTTACCTTTAAAGCCAGGGCTTGCCAAAAGCACTAGAGATAAAAAGAATGCAGATGAATATATACAGACTTTGCAAAAGCCTTCGACAAGTGGCCATGGCGAAAGCGCACAAAAGCGTGAAAAGGGGAATACTGTAAAAGGAAAAATGGGTCGAGGGATCTAAATTTCCCTCCTAACAAAACCAGAGAGTAGTCGTCAACAGAGAAAAAGCGGGGCAGCTACGGTGAAAAGCTCTTTTCCCAACAAGGACAGTACTCCCTCCCATCATGTTCCTCTTTCCTATCCCGAATAGAAAGGATTCACCACACCCCGTGTCTTTCCTTTGCAGATACACCCATCTGCATGACAGTGTCTTCCATTGCGACACTGCAAGGCCCAGGTGGACAAAACCCCGAACTTTCAGTGGGCTGCAGAAACAAATGAAGTTAAACGATGAAAATTTCAATTACTCAGATATGGTAAAACGGGAAATTAAAATTTTCATCAAGTACAAAAAAAATTCTGGCCACAAAAAGAGCAAAACACCAAAAAGTAAAAGACCTGGGAGTGATCAGTCGAGGATTCACCTCAAGGACCATAACGTTTTTTTAATCGCATCTGTAAAAAATGACAGGATGGATAATGAAAACCCTTTAAAAACTAGG